GGACCATACTCTTGCCTTCACTCACATCAGTTTAAATCACCAGCGACTCCGTTAGCTTCGTAATGTTCCTTTTGATTTACACTAGCACAAACTGAAAAAAAGTTTGCCCTTTCAAATAATTGGTTTCTCTTTTTTTTTGCAGCTCCAGATCAAACCCAAGATTTTCTCTGATTTCCAGTAGAATGATCATGTAAGAAAAATATCACCCTCTATCAATAAATTCCAATCTAAACTTCTCATATTTTCCCTCATGTCCTGTTCACTGAAATATCTCTTTATGTTTACATTCTTCTTGTAAAGGGTTTGTGACACTTTTATTTATAGGAAGTGACATCCGAATTGATTAAAATAAATTTTAAAAGCATTTTGGATATTTACACTGGAAATGCAATACTGTTGACTTGAAAGTTAGTGTTCCCAAGACATATGTGTACGTGCAAGATCAACACTGGAAGATAATTAATTAACACAATACATATCACCTCAAATTGTTAGATGTATCTTTTGTGACCCAATACCCATTTCTCACATTGTAATATTTATTCTGCTGGAAAAACAAACAATCATTAAAAATGTGGATTTATGAAGAAAAAATGTAAACAAGCAAGCAAGCAAAGTCTTAATTGAAAATGATCCTTTCAGCATCCTGTTATTTGGACTGAAGTCTTTTCAGCTCAGAGCTAGTGGTAAGCTAGTCACTTCACAGAACTTACGGGAGTTTTATTGGTATAAAACTGGCATAGGATAAAGGTCATTCTAATGAGTGAAGTGAGATTGTTTACTACTCATTTTACAGGCTGGAAGTGCATTCTGCAGTGTTTATCCACTGGGAGACACAAGAAAAAAAAGAGACAACCCTCGTTTCCTGAAAAAATACTCTGCAACTGGGGACTGCTTAGCAATTGCACTAATAGAACATTTAAAGAAACATCAGGGCTTAAGCTACTCAAAGCTTATTAGATAATTAGGCTGATTGTCACTTAGGACTTGGTGCCGAGAGGTGCTGAGCAAAGTGCCAAGATTTCCCAAGTGAATAGTCCATGAAAACTGCATCCTTCATTTAAACGCAAGCTTTGGTCCAGAATTGGGAAGATGCCAGATCAAGTCACAGGGAGATTTGGAAATCTCAGTCTATTTCTTTTTTTTTTAAATATTCCTTTTAAATATTTGTAGTTCACTGAGGCTAAGAAAATTCCATTCATTTCTCCATGCTATTGCCCATTTAATGAGGCAGAGAAGCATTTTATTACTCCCCTCTGATGAATATACAAGCACCAAAACCCAAAGCTGAACAGTGAAACAAACAGTGAATTATTTCAATCCTCTTAATTCTCTGTTTTTTTGGCAGATAATGCCATAAGTCATTTTAGCTTAGCAGCCACAGATTCAAGAGAGATTTCTTTTTAAACTTTGGAAACGTTTAAATTGAATGAACGAACAGAAGAAATTAATTTTTACCTAAACGGGGAGAAAATAAAAGGAGGACTTTTCAAGTATTATAGTGGCTATCAACTCTTCTTTTTCATGTCTTTTTGCAATGAGTCTGAATACTACTTTAGGAGGGCAACTTTCCCCCAATCAATCCAAATCCATCCAACGCAAAGTCCCATGAAACTCAGTAAACTAAAATAACCTTTTCTCCAAACTCCTTCCCCGAAATTCTTGAATAGTCGCCTGTGGTTGAACTGGAATGCACTGGGAAGGGTTTGAATTAAGTGCAGCTAGCCCAAAAGACAGTTTGGCTTCCTACAGAGGTGTAAAGGATAAAAAAGGGATTGTGGTGGACAGTGCATTGTTATTGTGAATTATGCAGTGAGCTGAAAGGCCACTGGAATAGTCATCAAAGTTCCTAAGAGCTGCTCTCTTCCAGATGAGCTAATAGAGTGGCTCTGAGCTCTGAGATTAACTGACATCAAATTTAACAGGGCTGTAAAATACATTTGCTGTATTTGACTTCTTTCTAAAGCTAGAGTGGTGATTCTGCTGGCCCTATTGTCAGGTACAGCTCCATTTACCTCCACGTTATCTGCACGAAGATGACCACAGTGTTTTACCCAAAGCACACATGACAAGCTGTAACCTTCGCAAAGATCGACGTATTTTTGGATATTCTAAGAAATCAGGACGCATCAATCTGAAATCTATTGAAACCATTCACTGGGTTTTCAAAGATCTTCATTTAAATAACACTCAGAAGGAAGGAGTCATTGTCGAGCACTTTTCATTAATAGGTTTACATGATATGTGATTGCTTGTAAAAACAACTAGCCTTGAGAAGATGGACCTTGGAGGTCCTTCCCAGCCCTATCTAATGGAAAGCTGACACTGGGGTTATGAGAGGCTTACTGCTGTAAATGATCAGCATCTCATTAAGTTCTTCTATAACTTGAACATGTATCATTTTATGTCCCTATGAATTTTTCAGGTGCAGCGCTAGTATTAATTATTGATTGGATGTAAAAGTGTCAACTCCCATCGGGTACAACTAACAACACATGTCAAACTGCGAGATAATAAATGTGTGTTCTTTGAAAGTGAGTGAGAACACATCAGATGCTTTTATTTTCCATTATCAAGAGCTGATTTATAACCTTAAAAAATTGTTTTCATTATACTTTTTGAGGGGAAAAAAGGAATTTTATACATTAAGGCTGTATTCTCTTCATTCATTTGAAAGACCACAGAGATGCAACACCTGGAGGAAAGTTTGCACATCTTATGGTGCCTCTTTTGCACCTTTTCCCTCAGATAAAGCCTCACTCTGAATAGTGCCATTTCCCACATCTCCACAGGAGCCCATATCCTCTGGCAGGCCTTGGCTAAGCTGTGGTTGTGAACAGTAGAGTAGATGTGAGCAGAAGCATGAACATGGGCTACAAAATGAGCAACCACATGAGCTACATCTCCCTTGACAGGGGAGGCTGTACAAATATGGTCCACTGAAGCCAAAAGGGCCCAGTCAATGCGGCTGGGAGCAGGAGCTGACTGCAAGAGCACAGGAGTCTCAGCTCTTATATTGAGATTTAAGTGCAACTCTGACCCATGTGAATGAATAACAAAAGCCTCATTGATTTCAATTAGAGGAGGCTTGGGTCTATTTACTGTAACCGAGTCGATTTTCAGAAAAATAATTAATTCCTTGTCATGTCTCATGTGTATTGATTTTTGTAATTACAATGAAATGGGAGGCAAGGGTTGGGGGAAGGAAATGCTCTTGATTTATGTTTCATTTGGTGCACAAGCTGTCAGGGACAAAGAAATTGAAATGCAATGACCGTGCCCGTCCTCGATGCACTGCTCTGTGCTTAGATAACGAGTGCCAGACATACAGTGTAGTGGAGACTCTAAAATCACACACTGCTCTAATGCATGGAATTCAGTACTGTGGTGCAAAGAGCTGTGTTTCTACAGTAGCCTCCACAGCATGCAGAAGACATGCCCAAGGGGAAGAAGATAAGGACAGGGCAAGCTTAATGCGTATCGATGACTAAGAGGAGGAGACAAAGAATCAGAATCGGGGATAAAAGAAATACAAGCTGTTGCTGATAATAAAGCTGCCAGTAGATAACATCAGGGAAAAAAAAGAAGTGAGAGAAAAGCAAATACATATGGCCTTGCTTGGTAATGATGCTGTTAGGAAAAAGACAGCAGCAGGAAAGCATTTGAACTTTGTTTCCACCGTGCTTTCACTAAAATGGCAAGTTAGAAATTTTTTGATCTCGAGTCAGTCAGTATTTGACTTCTTAATTAGGTGACAGTCTCCTTTTCCAAACACATTTACGGGAGTGGTTGGCCTGTTTCCATACACACACGCACAGATTTGATGATAATACTCAATTTCTAGTTTCTACAGCATCAGAGATTAGTATGTCATAAAGATATCCTCACTACTTACACGGATACACTATGACATTTTGGGCCCATTAAAGCCAATGCCTACTCTGATGTCAGCAGGACCACTGAAGAAGCAGAAGAACTATTTCCAATCTTTTCCCTAACAGTATCAGTTCAGGAAGTATCTTATATGAGAAAAGAAAAAAGCTTTTTGTTACACAATAGCCCTGCAAATGAGAGCTGCAAAACAGTCTCACGCCCAAACATTAAGAAGAAATTATATGTATGAGGGAGAGGCAGAGCTTAAGGGTGTAAATCAGTTTCGAGTGAAGTAATTTCATCTAAACACACGATACTTTAAACAAAAAGCAAACTCTCTGCCTCCAGTACAGGGAACTAATTTGCATCCAGTTTGTACAGTTTTTAAAAGCCGTTGTCTAAAAAGTCAGCACTCAAAGAAATTTTCCTCTGGTGACCTACACACACAGCAACGAAGGAAGCTGAAAACTCATACTTCAAAAAAAAAACCCCACAACCCACACAGAAAACTCACTGGTGTGGCAGTCTGTTGGCAACACTTTGTGAAACGATATTCTTCCTGGCTATGACAGAGCTTTTTGCACAAAGTCATAACACAACGAACTGTGAGTCAGTAATAAATAACCAAACGACAGTGAATGATGATGGCAAATCTGTCTCCAAAGGAATTACTGGTAAAAATACTAAAAATTCTTTCCCTCTTAATACATTAAACTCTTTGTTTAGGGGTTGAGTTGATACTGCCAGAAAACCCTTTTAATACAGCTAGCATAAATTTGAGTGGGTGTTTAAGTACTGGAGCACGAGAGACTAGCCTGTTAAAAAAGCTGCCCCTAGAAAGGCTGCTGTTTGCATAAAATACATTGGTGGTTCTCAGCTGGGAAATCATTTGATCTATTTTATATCATATGTCCTGCCACTAAGGAAGCCAATATGGTTATGAAATATGAACATGAAGCAAAACATAAAAAGAGACTTAATAAAATAAGTAATTCTGTTTTGCCTAAATCCTCTCATGCCAGCAAGAAGCACACACCATCATAAATTCAGCAAAGTCTACTCGTTTCAGTATGTGGGAAAGGAAAAAAAAAAGAAAACCTGCAGCCAGGCCCTGTGAGACACGGTACTGCAGAGGGTTTTCCCGGGAGAAATTGCGAGCGCGGACTGAGGAGGGCTGACCACTGCGTCGATTTAACTGATGGCCAGGTGCAGGGGAAGACAAGGGGTCTGGAGCTGCTCCGTGCCATGACCTAACGCTTGGCACACGGACAGCTGATGGATACCGGTCCAGCACAATCTTTCAAAACGTAACCCAAGTCCTTAGTGACAAATTTTCAGTGCTTTATGCTACTTCTCAGTAAATCAATAAATTAAAAAAAAAAAAAAGAAGAAAGGACACAGACACAGAGAAGTAATCAAGTGCCCAAGTATTTGTGAAAAGCCAGTGTTAGAAGTACTAGCAGATTAATCTTTGAAATTTAAAAATCCAGCATTTAAATTCCAGTCTCTTTAGCTTACGTGCCTGGGAAGCTCATGATCCTACAGCACCAAATATAAACCATAATATTATGCGTAGTCTTTACACCCAGATGCCACAACATTGAAAAGTCTCAGCTTATTTATAAACATGATTTTAAAAAGATGACTGGTAAATGAGAAATGCGAACATTTCTATTTTTCCAAGCTATTGTAAACTCCCAGCTATTCAGACCTTAGCCTAATTTATTCTCTGGATATTTCACAGAAATGACACGACAACATTGATTAGCTGACACCCAGTGCTAGAATTCAAACTGTAACACACGCACGGAAACAGCAGGACTGTGGGCACAGAGAAGAAATGAAAGGTGAAGCCTAGAACAGACGTTTGAGCAAGTGCAGAATAAATGAAAGCAGACATGACACAATGGGCTGTGAAGGATCATACTTGGATATGAGCTCTGCTGAAAACAGGTCTCCCTCCGTACAGCAGTCTGATTATAGTTCCATAGGTCTTCCTACAGGAAAACTGCGTACAAGTGGAGAACTCTCGACCTTCTCTACTGAAGCCAATGGCAAAACTACCACCAGCTTCACGAGGAGCAAGAGTCAGCCCGCAATCTTCAGGGTCAAAAACTGTATTTCAGAACATTACGTGCAGATGCAGTGCATAAAATCAAATAGAGGAAATCCAGCCAGCAATGTAGACTATTAAGCACCATTATTACGAAAACACTCATTGTTTTCCACAAAAATACATCCTCATCAGTTATCACAAATATCTGCGGCAAGCATGCTAAAAAGATATCTCTTTTTCTTTTCAATGTAAACTGTGTTTTGTTTTTGTCCTGCCAAAGCACAACAGAGTGAAGGGCACACTCTGCTGGTCAGAGCCACCATTTACACTGAAAGCTTTTTATCAATACGAGTACTAAAAAACAAACCCCATTAGATGACATCTGGAGATGAAGTGGTGCTCCATAGTAGGCTACTACTTGACTATTTTCATCCTGAATATTAGAGACCATGGCTATGATGTTATGAATGGCTTTCTCATGTTTAAACATCAGCCTACCTGCTGCAAAAACACTTTCTTTCCTGAAGGACATTTTTTAGCAGTATAACATATGTTTAAAAACTTTACCTTAGGCTTTTCATCCAGTATTTGCTGACGAATCTCCTTGTGTTTTTCTACAAGTTTCTCCTGCCTTTTGCTCTGAGCATCTTCTAGCTGTAAGAAGACAGTAGAGAATCTCTTTTCAGAGATTGCATATCCTCAGTTTTCCGCCTCTTCCCCAACGAATCTTTCATCCATCAAAATTAAAATGTTATAATCAAACCTATGAATAATTCTAATATAAATTTATACACCATTGTCACAAGCATCCCTGAGCACAACTGTTCTAACAGTTGCATGTGGACAATATATCTCAGATTTCACAGAGGGGATTTAGAATCAGAAATGTCTTAGGACTTTTTGTTGACTTCTAATGCTATTAAAAGCACAATGCATTTTTAAAAATAACATTATTTTGCTTTAGCTTTCATTGTTTCAGCTGTGTGAGATGGACCCTCTTCCCAGAAGAAGAGGATTTGCATTCTAGTGTCCTAAATGAACATGCTGATAAATTTTGGGCCCAATTTAATAAAGCTGTCGAACGTGTGCCTGACTCCAACAGGAAGTAAGCACACTTCATTTGCTCGTTGCCTCCTGAATCAAGGCCTCTGTGAGCAAAAACAGGCCAACTTTTGAACTGGACTATCTCTACCCTGAAATTAAGAGAAAATTCAATAGTGGTGTAGGTTTCATAGTGATTTCACACATCAGAACACTGTGGTGCATACTTTCAGCCCAGTGTAAAACACCTATAGCTTCAGAAAAGCTAAATCTGTAATGGAATTCTTTGATTTGTATTTACAGAGACCATAGAATGTTTTTTGCATTTCAGTAACTGTACAAATGTAATTAAGGTTACAATATACTCTCCAATTTAATGTTTATTGATTTTCAGAGTTCCTTATTCAATCTTTGCATTAATGAGACAGCAAGGCGATTAAAAAAAATGGGTACATTTTCCATTAATAAACACGGGATATTCAAAGATAAAATCATAACTGTATTAAAATCTGCCCCTCTTAGTACCATTCCCCAAACACTGATTAACTATTAATCAAGATCTGTCTGAAATTCCAGTTTTCCTTTAACTGGAATGTGAAGAAAAGTCTACACTGCATCTGTTAAAAATCTAAAAATGATAGAATCTTTATATTGAAAAGTAGAATCTGCAGTTTAATATGACCTAAAATACGAAAGCAGACATTTTACTTCACAAAATGAAAAGTAAACACACGGTCTGACATACCCGTTTGATGTACTGCACCACCTCCTGGATATACGACCGAATCATTTCGGTCTTCTCTCTGGGGAGGAGCAATCAACAAGTTATTGCAGTCAGTAAGATCACACCAATATATTTTAATCCCCCACAACTCCTTACAAAATAAGTAAAGCTTTGTTCTGAATGTACGGATCTGCCCACTTCACTTTTATCCACTTCCTGAATGTGCCTTTTGTTAACAGGCTGCATCTTTATTGTACGAAGGGCTCAGATTTCCCCCATGACCCACCACAACAAACCCCCTGCTCTTTCACAACAGGCTTTTCCCACAGGGTCCTGCCACGTCTTCGAAGTGATGGTGGTGTTCCTCAAGGCCCAAATGTCAGACTCGGAGAGCACCCGATCATCAGTAGATGCACACTGCCACATTGTGGCACATTATATAGTGGAGAAATAGTTTGTCAGCGAGCAGATGCTGCTGGTGACATCTCAGAGACAATGGCAAAGTTCCCACAAAGAGCAGGGCAGACTCGACTTTGGTCCTCAGCTTTGCTATGTAAACCACATAAAGCTGAACTTGGAGGAAATACTTGAACTTTAAGTGGCACGGTGAGATAGTTATTAGGTAAATTTGGTCAAAGACTGAAGATGAGATTCCCCCAAAGGTATAAACGCACATAAAATAACAATTTGTGGATACTTGAGTTGACTAGATTCAGGAGAGTACTCTGAAGCTTAATAATGGGATTTTCTATCTATTCAGGCGGCACAAAAATCCAATACTTTTAGGTAGGTCTTCAATCGCTGGGGGCATGTAGGAATTGGAAAAATTAAGTAACAATTAATACAATGTATTATCTCTATGTCATACTCTTTTCCAAGTTTGTGTAAAAGCTTTAAATAAACAACAGCCTAGACTGGATGACTCAAATGGGATTCACCAGAAGGTCTCACTTCTCTCTGCCCGACTGCGAGAACGAGGACAAACTGTGTCACTTGACAGAGGAAAGCTGAGTTTCCCATGTAGCTCCCATCTCACCTTTCCCAAGAGCTCCTTGAAAAGCCTAGCAAAGGGAAGCTCTTGGGGAAAATGAGAAACAAATAAAAGGAAAACAAAAATGAATTTCTACTTGGCTGTTTCTGAGCCTTTCTCACTAGTGGCTCATCAACCTCTCAGCAAACCATTTCCTATTTCAATTGATTTTTACTGCTATAACATTTTTGTAACGACTAACTACATTTTTCTAATATGACTTCCATACCATCTGACCACCTATAACCACATTAAATATTTTTTGTTTTTTTTTCATAATCAATTATTCTCATTTTTATCTTTTTTTTTCTAGGATGTTTGTTAAAATTATATCCTATTGATTTTTAAATTATCTGATGCAATTCATTGTGTGTGTAACCTTCTTTCAGCATTACTAAACACACAGATTCTATGTTGAGAGGCTTCAAAATCTATATAAACCTTTTTACCTGTAGAAAACCAAACAGTTGTGTCTTTGTTACTTGGTAAAACTCTGATATTCTGGATTTCTCTTTTTTTTTTTTTTTGTTCCTCTTGTATTTTTAACTGTCCTTAAACGTTACTAAAGTAAAGACTGGTAACAAGAATATCGCAGCAAACGGTGCAAGATTAAAATGCTCCATTTTCTTTTTGAGCTGCTTGCCAAAACAAATGAAGGAGGACAAACAAACCTAGATACCGGGCCCTTGGGAAGAATATAATCAACTTGCACAACTACAGTTTGTATTGCCTGGTGGTGCATAAATGAAATTAATATTCCTGTCCCTGTTCACCCTCAGAGCTCAGCCTTCCTCTTTTTTCCACC